GTTGCCTGGATTCCATGGCACAGGAAGGTCCGTTCTTCCTAAAAGGCAAGCTGGAGTGATTCCCTGATTTAGTGCATCCAAATACAGCTGGGGAGATCCTGAAGTGCAGGGCTCAGGTGTGTGTGTCGGCTCTCGGTGAAATGCTGAAGACACTTCAGGATTTATGAAAGGTGGTGGATTACTGGCACGATAAGAAAGTCCTGATAAGAGAAGCTGCTAAAGCAATCATAAAAGGAAAGAAATAATTTAAGAACGCTAGAGCAGAGAAAACCTTGAGGAATAAGTTTGGCCCAGCAGCCCCAAGGGATTACCGCCATTGATTTCAGACACCTTAGCCACTTGCTTTAAAACTAAGGAATCTGAACTTCTGTTAACGGTGAAATGTGTTAACATTGCAGTTTGTAGAGTTTAAAACAATTACAGAGAGACAGAAATCTGGGAGCAAACAGCCTAACCATGTTCAGTGGCAGCATCGGCCCAGAGCTGCTGGTGAAGGCAAACCGAGTGGGTTCCACTGAAAGGTGGACACTGCGGGGGGGGGGGGGGGGGGCAGGTGCCCACACCTGCGATATAACCTCACATCTGCACAACTCCCTGCAGTTCACAGAATTCTTCCACATAGAGTTTTAGTTCACCCTCTTCAGAACTCTGTGAGGTATTCCCATTGGGGGGATAAGAAACTAAGGGTTATAGTGTTCAAGGGACATGTTTGTGAAGACAGTGCTTGTCCTATCCCAACACAGTTTGCTTACCTTGATGACGATTTTTAAAAATAATACATTTTGGGTGGTTTCTTCAAAATATAGTTATTTCTAGAGCCCCTCTTCAAATTAAGCTTTCTAAATCTGTCCATTAATGAATCGTTTTTTTTTCCTTGTTTGAATATTCATACCTATCCCCCACCCTGACGTTTGCCTGGGGGTGTGTTCAAAAGAGGTCAATTCTTTCCCCACCCCCAAGAAAAGTGAAATCATGAAATAAACCAATTCCAACGCTGGAAATTGTGTCAGGACAAATCTGTGTTGTGGGTTTATAAATGTAGTTTAAATCAGAACACCTGGCAATGAACTGAATGCTTCTGTCATTTAATTCAACCTTATCTGTTTCAATCATGAGATATAACCTGTAGATTGCATCCAGATACCTGTTAGTAATTATTTACCTCAGATTCTTGAGAGATAAGAGTTGCCAGAAATCAAGCATCTGAACAGTTTTACAGTGTTCCTCAGGTCATCCTCACCAAAAGATCCTGTTTGAAATGGAGTCTATAGTTTGAATGGATCTTAATGAAGGATTATAATGGGAAATAATGGGGCTTTGGAGTCAGACAAATCTGCATTCAAATCTTAACTCTGTATTTGCCAGCCTTGTGACCTTGAGCAAATTAATAAACCTCTCTGCACCTTAGTTTTTATTATCTGTTAAGTAAAATTAACGATATTTACCTTCAGTGGTTAATGTGAGGATTAAATGGGATAATTTATATGCATGTAGTAAATACTCAAAATGGTAGTCTTATTCATATGAGAATTGAGCAATGATCTGGATAGAATGAAAAAAATTATTAGGGTTTGGAGCATCTATACATTTGTTTTGTTACTATATTTCTCAATTATAAGTTGTAGTCGTCCTTCTCAATCATGCAGGTAAGTCCTCAAAAAGCTCAGTAGTACAATTATTTGGCATAAAGGAACTTAAGACCCTTATGAAAAATTGTGTTGGAGGATAGAGGTAAGAAATAAGCCTGTGGAATACCTTATATGTGTTTTATACTCTCTGAAGTAAAATAACTGATTCCTTACACTAAATTAAAATAATACTGTGGTATATTACACATATTAAATTAGTAATAATACTAATTTTGTTTCTCATTAAAAATGCTCAGAATGTCTATCATAAAGCATCTGTAAGACATTTTTGTTTATAAGATGTCAACTTTTATACACTGATAAAATGTTTACAAACAGACTTTGCCCCCATCTTTGTTCTTCCCTCAAGGATGTTCCGGTCTCTCTGAATTGTTATATGTTGGTTTTTGTTTTTCTCTTCTCATGTTGCCCACTCCACCCATACCCACCTCTGTTGTTTGTTTCATGGGCCCCATGTCCCCTCGCCCAGATCTCACCATGCTCCTTGGGGCACAGAGTAATGTGAGTGCTAGAATGTTTAAGAAACTAACCAACCAACTAACCTTTTGTGTAACCCCCTCAGCTATGTTGAACATCTGTTCTTGAGTCCTGTTAGGACTCCTATTAGGTAGGAGTATTGGACTCATGGTAACTTTATGCTGAAGTTCCTTCTACAAAGGCCTCCTTCCCCTGCCCAGAGTTTTAAAGCCCATTCACAGTCAAACTGCCATCTTCTATTTCCAAGATTTCATGGCAGCAACTTGCATTCATGTTCCACCATCTACCTAACCTTCTCTTTCCATTATAAATATCCACCTCTTTTTCCAGTTAGCTTCAACAAGAGTGACTTATGAGCTATAAATACATCTAAACTTCTCTAGTTGTTCAGATTATAATTCAGTTCTAGTCCAGTCTAAATGCTAGTAAGCCAAATATTTATGACCTTGATTCTCTTATCTATATCACTTCCCATTAATCACAAGCCTATGCACATAAATATGTTTAAAAATAAAAATTCGGATAAATGAGAAAAGTGTCAGTTTGCCTGTTGCAAAACTAATGGACTTGCTCTCCCCCTCTTAATGGCAGGACTAGCTAATACAGGTTAGAGCTGAATTCTGAGGGGCAAAGCTGGAGGACATCAGACCAGATAGAGTAGTGAGCCATCACAGTCTGAGCAGGAAGAAACCAATAAAAGCACAATACCCAGATTGTGGCTGCATAGCCAGGAGTTTTATTTTAAAATAGGGATCAGTTCGGAGTGAGGACAGAGGATAAGCAATAATGGGGTGCTAAGGTCTTAGGTGAAAGTCAGAGAATTCAGTTGGCACCATGAGTCATCAGTTACAGGGACAGCTAAGAGTGATTTATTAGCATTACCTTTCCCGAGTTTCATATTGGGTTGTGTTGGTCATCCACAGGGTAGGCACATAATGTACCAGAATTGCTTATGGGGCCCAGTTGTGAGATATGACAGCGGTATTGACTTCCCCCCTCAACTCCGAGCGTCTGTGTTGCACAACTTCTTTGACATGGCCTGTCAGCCAGTAGTGCCTGTGGGAATTACTTGTTGTGAAATCTGATGCTATAAAAGTAAAAGGAGATTTTGTGCCTGGCTGACTCTCCGGGCAAATGGAGAACAAATAATTCTTAACACTTCTAATAGGATTCACAGGTGATCTTAGCTGTGCTAAAAGATAAGTGAGCATGGTAAGTGGCCAGCATGGGGAGAGTATGAGATAGTTAACTAAGTATGGTTATATAATATAGATGGGCATGTGGTGATGAGATTTATGTCTAGGCATATATTATCAGGCATAAATTCATAGTGTTTATTTAATTTTCCATTTAAACTACTAATGAAGTACTCTATAATGTAGGATACTAAAATTGTGTCAAATTAGGTACAAATTCTGCACTGCATGAAAGAAAATGCTGTAATTACTGAACAGTAGAAATATAATTGTTTATAGTCCTTAAGCATCACTGCAATTAAGGCGTCACATTTGTTATGCTTTCTTTAGAATCTGTGGTTAGTGATTTTTTAAATCCTTTTTTTAACTCTTCATTTTCCGGGTTTACTACACATTTTTTTATTTGTAATGCCCTTGATAGTCCAAAAGGTTTGGTGTTCAAAAAGCTCTGTAGAGTCATAGTCTATTGGTATATGACTCAGGATTCAAGATTAAACATAGTACATGTGATTTTGACCTTTACTATTTTATTTTATTTGCTAATCCTTAGCTGGTATAAGTGCAGATGTGATGTGCTATCTAAAAGAGGTAGCAAAAGAAGGAAGGAGACCCATAGGTAGATAAATATGTCAACATTGATATACATAACTATTGGAAACCTTCAAAGACTTGGATCTTGTTTAAATGCCATTAAATGCCATTAAAATTCCATTGCTGGAGAAAAATGCCATTACTGGAAATTATTCTGTTTGTTATCAAAACTTAGGGAAAACTTTAAAGATATATTTTCATATCAGCTGATAGCCAGCTTCTCTAGTCAATCCCTAGAAACACATAAGCATAGTGCTCTAGGGTTATTTTTTTTCCATCTTCTTTTAATTAGATTACATCATTGGACCACTTTTTCCTTAACACCCACATAAAAATTCTTAATATTTTCGTAAGGACTGTATACTGATCATGAACACCCGCTTTCTAAATCAACTTCCTTCTTCATTCTACAAGACAATGACTTTCAGAATAAAATATATATAGAGAGAGTCCTAGGTGGTATTATTTACTTGTCCTAGAGTCAAAAGTTGAATGTTTTATACTATGCAAATTTGGTAATGGCCAATGTTACCACATATAAGCAATAACATGGTAAGTTTCTTTGGACAGTATGGTCAATGGGTTACCATAGTAAGCTTGATCTCTGGATTTTTAGTGTCAGAGATATTTATGATTCTAAGTAGCACCAGGCATGGCTATTTAAGGTAAAAGAAAACAGCAAGGGCATGGTTCCAGTTGCTTAGTAAACAATTGTAGGAAGATGTTTATTAAAGCTGGCTCTCAAGTGACAGATAAATGCATAGTTCTGTTATGCATGCTAAATTCAGCATGCTGCAAGCTTAAAAGCAGATAGATCAAAACGAGAGATTTTAAAAATCATAAAGACAAAATACAGCTATGTCAGTATATGACAGGAAAATAATTTTGCCTTAAAAGTGATCTCCCCTAACCTCCTCAAGAACATGTAACCACAATTTATGGAACTAAATTAAAAGCACGTTGGGTGTATTCCATTTTTTAACTCATCTGGCACCAAGTTAAAAAAATTAAACGGGCTGTTGTTAAACTAAGATACAAGTGAATCCCTTTATTACAAACAAAAAACTACATCACATAATTACTGATATATAATTTATATTTATTAATGTATGATGTTTAATTCTTAAAAAAACAAAACAAAAAACAAAAAAAAATGCACACACAAAACAAGCTACTTGAATAGATTCTTTCATGCACATCTTTTTCTACCTCACAAGGTTCTGCTGCATGATTTTTAGAGGAGTTCCCTTATTCAGGGTTGGCATATGTTTTTCAATTTTCATTGTCCAGAGCCATATTTACAGAAAGATGTACAAATATTGCAGATAGTAGGCTGTACAACTCTCACGTGATTAAAACTTCAGTTCCTTGGTTTTCTAGCGCTTTGTGTAAATGCCAATAAATTTGAGAGTTCACCCAACTGCGCCTCTTAACCTTTGTTCCCATAGGTGAAGGGCAGGATATTTAATCAAGTAGCAATTTATCTTTAATTAGGAAAACATAATTAGGTATTATCATCTAATTGCAATTACTGGTTGGAGAAAGCCACATTTCACAAGTAGTGACCCATGCTGGATTATCATTCTCCTCATACTGAATTTTGAATCTGTATTTGTATTTGGCAGATAGCCAAAACAAATTCAAAGGTTATCACCAGGCCTCTGTGCAATCCTGCTGTCAAAGTCACCAACTCCACTGCTGAATAGGAAACAAGAGATACTTCCTAAGCCACATCACGGCTATATCTGTTTCCTGCTAAGACATCAAATGTAGATCAAAATAACTGTATACAAAAAAACCCATGTGAAGTAGGTTCGAGGACTGTTCCACACTTCAGTTCTGGTACAGTTAAAAACAGTTTAATGTCTCAAGGCACCACTATGGTTGAACATCAGATACACGGGTAATCAGCTAATCGTCTACTATGCTGTAAAGTCAGTAAATAGCTTGTGCAATTGTGAAAAGCAATCTCTAGAGGACGTTAGATATACAGTAGGCACGTGTATTATAATACAAATAGAAAACAATGAGTCCTAGAAAAAGCATGTTGAGCACCGTTGTGGCATTGTTTGTGTTTCTCTACCTAACACTACGTAAACCTTACATTTACAAAAGGAAAGACTAACCTTTTTAAAGTTACACTCAAGTTTGCTTTTTGCGCTATCTCCAATTAAGGGAATCTAGTTCGTAGGCGTACTTTTAGAAGTCGTTGGGTCTGGATCAGCTTCTGTCGTGCTGGTAGATTCGTTCAAGTGCGAGCTCAAGTTTTCTGATGTGAGGTGGGAAGACTTATAGACAATCTCATTGAAGTCGGACCTGATGCAGACCAAGGGAGGATCGCTCAGTGGGTCTTCCACTGAGGCCTGTGTGTTTTCTCGAGTGATTCCCATGTCCTTGCTATGTTCTGACGGTGATTTTCTTTTCATGCGAGTGTAAGTTTTGTCTTGATTCTCCATGCCTTGCTCATTTTTCAAAAACCGTCCAAAGAACCAAATGAAGAATCCAAACCACACAAAAGCTATTAAACTTGGAACAAAAGCCAGACACTTGACATCAAGGCTAGCCCCTATGAACCTGCTGTGTAAGAACATATCTCCTTCAACATAGGTTTTGTTAGTCTGAGGGTTAGTGTGATTGGACCTCCATTCCCAGGAAAGTTTGGTTCTGTTCAAATCCTTTAAACTTTCTGAGTCTTTCACTGTGTATATCTTCTGCCCTGGGCCAATGTACTGTCCGTATTCATGAGGCTTATAAAATATTTGGTTCTTCCACATATTAAGATCCAAAATTAAGACGAGAAAGATAATTCCATAGTTAAACCATTTACCTGCATAAAAAAAAAACAAAAGAAATACGCATATTAGTCAAAGACCTATGAAATTGCAATAGGGCTTTCTCCAATAAAATGGAGATAATGGCGTACAAGTATAAAGTGTTAATGTTTTAGGCCTGTTAGCAATTTTTTGAGATGGCTATGCTGCCATTAAGTGAATTGACAAAGGATATTTCCTAATTGTATTCTAGACACCTGAAAATATGACTGTGGGTCCCAGAGTCAATAGTTTATGCTACTTACACTAACCAGATTAAGCCTCCTTGTTTTATAGACACTGCAGCTGTATTCAAATTTGGTTCCATGTAGGTTATTCTCTAGAACATTTCAGTTAATGTTTAAAAACAAAGTTCTAATGAAGTTCTTAGAAAAGTCTAACATATGATTGAACATCTCTTACAGTTGTATAATTATGTGTAGGCAAGAAATAAATCACTTTGCAATGCAAACACAGCAGTATATCAATTGAATTCACATTGTTGTTTGTAGGTGACCTGTTGATTAAACCATTCAGATCAATAATTTTCGAGCATTCAAGACTTTAAGAATAATTGCATCAAATTCTCATTGAACAGAATCCATTTATCAGACATATAAATACAACCAAAGCTGACAAACTGCTTTAGAAGACACAATTTGAAGAGGTTGTTTATTACAATTTCTTTGTAGTAGTTAAAATTTTCATACAAGTAAGACATTTCTTAGAGACATGTTATCTAATATAAACGCTGAAGATGCTGGGGAAAATGGAATAAAAACTGAGGGCTGTAGAATTATCTGCAGAAAGGATTTTGGAGGAAGTAGCAATTCGTGTGGTCCTTGAAAGAAGGACAGAGAATAGTCTGGAAAATGGTGCATTTCTTTTAGTGTATGTTTTTATTATGCTGCAGATAAAATAGCATACAGGAAAAGATGAGGTGATATGAAAGAGAGGGGTGAGAGGAGAGAGAAAGAAAATAATGGAGAATATTGTAGGAAGAGAATGCAGGAGAGGAACGAGAGACAAGTGAATTGAAAAAGTTCTGAGGTTCTCATCCAATATTAAGGAGGCAATAGCTAGTAGCTTCCACGATGGAAAGCAAGCTGAGAGAGTAGCTTCCAGTGCTTCTCTGTTGCAGGAGATATATACTCTCTTGCTGCAAACTACATGTGCTATGAAGCCAGACTGGATGGTGAGGAAGACAGGTCCTTGAATTTGCATGACTGACCATCACCTTCTTGACTCACAAAGGTCCCTTGGAGAAACCTGTACTCGCTCTAGGTCATTTTTATTAACTCATGAATAGGGCAGTCCCTCATAAAGTGGTCCCTGTATCTAGGGTAATAGGATATCAGAAACCACTGCTAAGCAGCATCACAGAATCAGGGAGAAGAAAGGAACTCTCAGTGAGCTTGGAGTAAGGTGCTATTCTGGTGGGAAAAGATGGTCAGAGAATGTTAATAGACAAGGGAAAAAGATAAAATCAGTATAAAAATTGAAGTGAATATACACTGATCAAATTAAAAAGAAACCCTGAGGATAGGAGGAGCTCTTCCCCAAACTTCCTACATTATTTTCCTCCCACCTAAGTTGAATGGTGCTGGGTGGGTTTGACCACCACACTTTGACACTAAAGAATCACTTTATGTTATTTCCCATGTGACCTGGAGTCTGAATATTTAGATGAGAGGGAGGAGGAGCAAATTAAAAAGGTATTGCAGGACATCAGTTAATGGGTTATCATCACCCCTCTCGAACACATCTTTACCGATCTGTGAGAGGGAGAACCACAGTCACAAAAAACTGCAGGCTAGAAATCAGCAGATGAAGCTCATCCAGACACTTAAATAATACAACCTTGGGTTACCTGTTTAACCTCTCCAGACCTCAACAGTTTTATTTTCAAATTGAGGAAACTGAACCGATGACTTATTGTTCTATGATTCGGTCCTCTTCCCCCAAATCCTTCTACTTATTAGCTATGTGAATTCAATTTTTTATTCGGTGAAATAGAGAATAATATCAACGTAACTACCTCAAAGGATGATTGTGAGGAAGAAATGAGAAGTTATATTTGAAGGTTCTCTGAAATATATTAAATTTGCCAAAAATGTAGAGGAATATTATTTCTGTAATTTCTTTCTTCTATGTCTTCAATCCAGTTAGTATAGGATCTTGGTGATAGAAGGACAGAAGAACATGTAAGGGTTTGCAAAAAAGATATATCCTAAAGGTGATCAAATGTCTCACTTTGGATAAAACAGCAGGAATCACTGAGCACTGACATCATTGGGTAGATATAACTGGACCAGTTATCTAAGAGGACTCAGTGTGTAGTTATATGTAAACATGCTTTGTGAATCAGCATATTTAACATGTTAACATTCTTAGCAATTGGTAATTTGTCTACAACTTGCAGGAGAATGGTCCTGGGACTAGGTCATTTATATACACAAATTTTGAAGCTAAAGAACAGGAAGTAGCATTCCCCACTCCCCCCACCCCCCGCCCCCCGGCAGACAGGCCATGTCAGGGTGGAAAAGTGCAGAGGGGAGAGAACAGAGGCAGGTTCCCTACTGACATCCCATTTCTTTCCTTCTGTGGATGTAGCCCTGTCTCTACCCCTCCTACCCCCCTGTCAAAGCCAGTCAGCTGAACCTTGAAGCTGGTAAAAATGCAGAAGAATGGCTCTTCTTAACTTTTTGTTTGTTTCCAGCCCACCTGACACAAACTGCTGGTCCATTTATGCATTTGCACAGAGGAAGGATGGTCATCTTTGGCTAACATCCTTCCTTCTATTTTCCCACAGTGCTTTGTTACTTTTGTAATGCTTTCTCCTCTTTAAAAAATTACTTTTGCCCTATGAGATGTGGCAAACCAGAAAGCAAAATCACACGAGACAACTCAACATCACTGTTCTTGTCTATCAAGTGAGGGGGTTGAGCTATTGATCCTTCAGGTTTCTCCCCAGCCCTAAAAATCTCTTTGATGAGTCTGTGAAATAAACATCACCTAAATCTTAACGTTTAATAATGGGCCAGGAAATCTCACCATTGGAGCAAAAAAGATGGAATACACGATTTCATGCAGAGAAAGCTTTCCTTTAAAAATTGTATATTCTGAGAAACACTATTTACCATAAAAAATAAATTTGAGTCCCTGAAATGACCCACATGGAAAGGATATCAAACACAAAAAGGGAAAGAATAGAAATGCTCTCTTGCCATTTCCCAAGTGTGTTGTTGTGAATGTACAATCAACCATAACAAGAGGTTTAGTATTTCAGCATTAATCATAGGAGAGATTTTGCATTTTCCCCAGTTGTTTCAACTACATAGCATAATGTAAATCAGCAAGAAGGGACGGTAAGAATCCATACATTATTTCTATTAATCTCCTTGTTGAAATAGCTCACTGTCTCCTTTAATGAGAAATCACTGCATGGTGTTGGTGGGATTACCTCTCTCTTGTATTTTGTGCCTTTAATGAATCCTACCGATTGTCAAAAAGATATTATAATGGTAATTTTATCTTTTTACATTGTGGGAGATTATAGAATCCTGGGCTAGTTGGTTTTAAAAGGATTCTCCATTAAATATCACCATCACTTGGCATAGGAAATGACAATAATTTGGAGGAAAATGTAATTTTTTCAACTAAGGATAAAAGAGTATGAAGTGCTGATATTTCCATCATATAAGAAGGCTTTCGTTATTCAGATATGCAATTATAATATTAAAAAAATTTTTTACTCAGTAGAGTTGCCAGTTAGCATTGAGACTGAGCTGTGCTGTGGGCACCTTCATACCAAATGAGTGCCACCACTTGGCCAGACTCTGGCATCCGGTGCAGATACATGGAATAGTCATGCTCCACAAAGCCTTTTAATACCCATTATGGGATAGCAAGCAACCATGGCCTTGAAAAAGATAAATGTTGGATAATTAAAGAAATAACAGTTTGCTGTAACAGGCTTCTTGGCCATATTCAATGTCCTTTCATTCCAGACATGAGCCGTGAAAACAGGGCTCACTAAGTTAGCATCTCTTTAAGTAACTCCTGTGTAATTTAGGGCTATCTGGAAACCACATTAAGTGCTTGGGTCATAAGAAGAACATTTAGTAAACTGAAGATATTTACTAAAAAATTTATGAATTAATAAGAGCTATTTGAGTTAGTAAAGCATCATCTTAAGACTTAAAAGCAAATGAATATAGCTTCTCTAAGTGCCTCTCTTGTCATTGTCATTTCCTAAATGGGACATAATCCAACACGATGAGTAGAGAGAGGTAGAAACTTGGCGATGATACAAGGAGAAGGGAAAGCCATGGGGTTATACTGAATTAGGTGACCATTAGACTCTGACTTTCTTGAGATTAGGAATTGTGTCATGTTTGTTTCTGTATTCCCCAGATCCTAGCTTAGTTTTAGACACATTAATTCAGAAAATGTCCGTTAACCAATAGGTAAACCCTGAGATAATGTGTCCAGACAATCCAAGGAGTAAAGTTATAGTCTTTCAAATCAAATACATGTGTCACAGTGATCTGGTGAATTATAGGATACTGCTAAAGTCAGATATAATTTGGAAAACTGGGAAAAGCAAAATATTCATATTTCGGAGATTAGAATTCATTATATATTTCAAGTCTCTCTTCTGGCAGTAAAGACAATTCCGAAGAGTGTGTGAGTTTTATCACAAAAATCCTCATATATGCACAAATGAAGACAGGACACCTCAGTTTGAACACAGCAGGCCAGCTCAGGGGCAGCCAGGGCTGACAGGCTTTGGGCAAAGCATCCATGGCCTTGAAGAAGATGAGTTTTGGACAAATATGAGGAATCGCTGCTTTATGTAGAAATAAACATAGTTAACTCTTAGAGCTGTATAAATGTGTTGAAAATAGAAACTGCTTCAGGAAAGGTTTAGAAAAATTCACAACTGAGAGACTAGCAAGAGGTCCTTGTGTACCCTGGGTAAATTCATGATCTTCGGAGACTGTCACAGTGAACAGGATGCATCATATTTCCCTATAACAAGCCCCTTGTTAATTCTGTCGGACAGAATATTCTGGATGAACCACTGGCCTGCCCTCCCCAGCACTTCCCACGATCCGACTGACACAGGAGGGCTCTTTAAAAAACAATCTCTGGGAACTCATTTGCCAGAAATCATGCACCTATGGAAATAAAACAGAGGGGTTTTATTCATTATTTTCCACACTCTTGCCATTGTAAGGCACCTGTGCCCTCACAGGCTCAGGAAGCTGAAACAGAACACAGACACGATGGAGGTTTGTTTACTTCTACATTTTCCTTTTTTGCCGAAAGGGTTCCCGTGGGCATCATCGTGCCAAAAGAGTGAATTCTCTCCTCACAGATGCACAGGCCTTCCTTCTGGCCTTTCCCTCAACCCCCTCCTAATTTACTCAGATGATGGCCACCAATGGGACACTTCCTTTGTCTGGCTGGGATGACAGATGGCAGAGCTTCCGCCGGGATTGGCATTAATAGGACTCAGAGGAGCTTCCGAGAGTGAATTGAGAGGCCATTCCTCTCTCGCCTCCAGAGACTTAGTACATCACATTTCGAATCCATCTTTGCACTCACCTCATAGGTAAAAAGGAAGAGGCCAGAGGAAATAATTACACGGTTACATTTAGCATTTATGTTTAAGAGAAGAACAATGGGCTTGGGCTAAAAGTACTGATGTGACCTAATCACTATTTATCCCCTTTGTTACTGAAGTCAAAATTCCCAGAAAAAAATATTTTAACACACCCTTGGATAGAGATGATTTATTTTTATAAGCTGCAGCCCAGCTTATAAAATGAAAGCTCATACACATGGCAGCAAACCATCTGTCAAGGGGGATCCAGATGAGCTAAACAGATGCAACAATTCAAGTCATTTCTGAAATGCATAAACAAAACTAGCATGGAATCAGGATTAGAAAATACCCAAATCCTAAATGCTTTTAAAATGTCAATGGGAACTCATCAGTGTCAGATAACCCTCTACATACACAGCTCTTCATTGGAAGAGAGATTTTTTTTTCCATTCTTAGCCTTCTCCTTCTTGACTCAGAACAGTAGATAACAGTAGAGAATTCAGAATAGTGGATAAATAATAAGAGCCCCCTCTCAGGCTACCTAATATTTTTGAATTAAATAGGAAAACAAACTCTGGCAGGACTCTGAAAGCAAAAGCTGCAGGTAAAAGTAGTGAGAGTTTACTGAGTGCTTACCAAATGGCAGTGTTTTAAGTGCCTTGTACATATTAATTTAAATCTCACAACAACCCTATGGGACAAGAACCTTACTGTCCCCATTTAACAGATGAGAAAACTGAGCCTCTAAGAGGTTAAGGAGCTTGACAAGGGCCACACCAACAGTCAGTGGCTGAGCCAGAGTCCAGGCACCAAACCATTACATTCCATTTTCTAAGCATGCACTGAACGTCATTTCCAGAGCACAGAGAAATGATAGTTGAGGCCATGGTGGAGCCATCTTTGAACCCAGGAGAACCCTAGCAGTTTCTGCAAGACTCTTCTAGTACAGAACAAACACAGGCAGAGAAAGCAATAGATGGAGCTGTCTGGGGGTCCACAGGATCCCTTCCCACCCCTGACTTCAGTTTCCTCTGTGGTCACCCAGATGTTTCCCATCATACTCTGCTTTGGGACCTCATTTCTTAGCCCCAGCTCTGAACTTTCCAGCTCCCAGCAGGACTCTCTAGCATGTGCCCTTCTCACTAGTACCCCATTTCTATTTGAATTTTCATTCTGCCCCTTGGCTTTTGATCTTAAGAGTTGCATATGGAAATAAATTAAAGCTGGGATGAGAGAAATTTTGATGGTAGAAAGTGTTTCTCAGCAGCAGTGTTGGTCAAAGAGAGGGCCTCTGGCAGCATGCGTAGGCATCACTGGCGATGCTTAAGAGAAGGCTGGCTCCCAGGCTCCACCTCCTACCTCAGGCATCTGGCTCTGCACATGAGGCTGATGGATCTTTTTAACAAATTCTCCAGGTGATTCTCATACACACTGAAATCTGAGAACCACTGGCGATGGATATAGAGAGTTTCATGCTTAATAACCCAGTGATAATACTATATTTACTCATCAAGAAAAGCACTGAGTTTCCCTACAAAAAGAAGCAGAACTTGGAGGAGCTGATAAAGTTAGCATTTGTAGTTGACTTGGGAATTTGCAGGCTACTGACAACTGAGCATATTAAAATACAACACGTACCATGTTTTTGGAAATTTTATCTAGGTTTCCCCAGAAACAATTATCTTACAAAGTCAGATAAAAAAAAAAGGCCCTTTCACAGGAGACTCGCTGCTACTTCAGAGTGTCCTCAGCCACATCTTCAGCAATTAACAGAACAAAGAGAGTCACAGAATAACACAAGAGGGGAGCAGTTTAGACTTTCTTCAGCCTCCAAACCTGCCACCATTTTCCTAGAATTTTTTATCATGGATCTGGGGCGGTGCATGATCATCCTACCATAAATTGGGTTTAAATTGTTTATAGTGGAACTTTACACCCCAAAGCCCACCTGTACCCTATTTTATTTTGGATTAAAACTCCAGAATCCTCAGAGGTCTTCCAGGCAGATCCAGGAACCCAATCATTTGCACGGCCCATCGCAGGGAGACAGCCCGGCTTCACCTGTGGCTTCTCCAGCACCAAGGAGCAGTTCCCAATGGCCATCACCTGGGGTGCTTTTCTAAAGTCCCATTCCCTGGCCTTGGCCCAGAATTCTTGAGTTGGAACTATTAGGAATGGGGCCCAACAATGTGTTTATAAATATATATCTCGAATGGTATGATTTTCAGCATCATTTGGCAAAGACTGCATCGGAACCTTAACTACAATGTATTTCCACCTTCTCACAACTGTTATTAATGTGCAGTTTCCATTCCAAGAACTTAGCCAGTCTTTCTTCCTTTTAAGTTTCTAGAAAATAATACATGGTGGAATAAAGGTTTTAGCTCAACTGCATAGGAGGCTTTATCTCGAAGCTAATTACACTGAAGCTTCAAGGACTCCTGTATGCGTGTCCTTCTTCCAAGGCACTGAAAGTAATTTTTAGTCGTAATTTTGCTTTTATATTCTTAACTAGAGCATTCCGGATTGGGTAAGCTTTGGGCACCACAGAACCTGAACCTGTCCCTGTCCATAAATGATAGCATATATGACAAAGCCCTGCCAAATAGCCCCAAATTAAGTATTTTTTAAAAATATTTTATTTATACATTTGAGAGGGAGAGAGACAGAGAGAGCACAAGCCGGGTGAGAAGTAGAGGGAGAGGGAGAAGCAGACTCTCTGCTGAGCCAGGAGGCTGACATGGGGCTGGATCCCTGGACCTGGAGATCATGACCTGAGCCAAAGGCAGACGCTTAACCGACTGCCACCCAGGCGACCCCCAAATTAAATACTTTTAACAGCTTGATTTTTTTCTTACCAACGGGTTGCTCTGAATATTCCACCCCCCTTTTAACCTGATAGTATGCACTGCAGCGGTACATTTTTGACGGGGATTCTGATATTCAGAGATAATATTAGTGCCATGGTGGCCTGGGACAAGAGCTGATAGCAAGAACAGATGGTCCACGCAAAAGCCCACCCAAAGCGACATGATGATGCCACTTTGAGAAGTCCGAGAGGGGAGCATGCTGCAGAGATTAAGTGGGGACTCTGAAACCACACTATGTGACCTGAACTCAAATTGATTGATTTACCCAGTGAATTTAATAGATGGGCCTCATTCATTTTAAATAGGAAAAGAAACCTGCTGCATCTTCCCTATTCATGAACTCATTCTCCAGTTTAGGAAGGTCGCCTCATGCTCAAAGCAAAAACCAGCCTTCAAGTTGGGAAGCAAAGGTTTTTTGCAAGACTCAGATGTTCACATTTTCTGTGCTCGGGCTATTTTTACGCAGCAGCACAGACAGTAGTGTAAGCACGGATTTCTTCAGCAGTTTTTATTATAGCAGGTGTGGGATCCTAAGCCATTGTCCTTAAAACACACACACGTTCACTACGTACATTTGAACAGCTTGGGAGCTAACGCCACCCTTTATGTGATCATTTAGCTGTCTGCCTCTGGTTAGGAGAGAAAAAAAAGGTATAAAACAGAACTTCAGGAAGACCTTTTTCAGATGAGAATGACTGAGATGTCATGAAGGAATATTATAATAAATCATAACGGAGCCGTTTCAAAAGGAGGGCATCTCTGCAAATGAAAGAATCTGAGGATCTGCAAGAGACTCACCTGAGAGAAACATGAGCTCTGCCAGAGAAGGAGGTTTTGATCAAATGAGAAGTGGCCTAACTCCCTAAAGGCACAGGGTCTGACTGGTGCTCTCGGATACCACTGTTCCAATCTCAGCAGTAACTGAGGAACGCGGTGTAAAGGGTGTCAATGGTGAAAAAACATACCGAGCTGTATGTCGTGAGGAAGCAACTAACCTCATGAAGAAAACCAAGGTGGAGGGGTATCTGGAGCATGGCAGAGATCGCTAACTATCCACGCCAAAACTGTGGCCTCCCGCGAGAACAGCAGATGCGACACCGCAGTGGCTGCCCAAGCATGGACCACATTTCCTCCTTGACTCTGAGTAGGGCTATCTGATGAGCTACTGCCAGTGAAATGTGACTAGAGGGTATATGTCTTTCCCCCATGTCAAGGTGATTAAGAAAAAGATAAGCCTTCTTCATCCTCTTCTCCATTCTCGCCATTCCCATTTGCCTGCTGGATGTTGAAATCCAAATGACTAAAGCCGCTCGGAGCCTTAGTCCCAGAATGATAGTTTGGAACCCCCAACTGACCCAGAACCACCTTGCACTATTAAGTGAGTGAGAAATAAAACTAGATGTATGCATGCCTCTAAAATGTTACCACTTGCTTTTTTATAGCAGCTGGTATTACTCTAAGTAGGAGACAATCAGATCGTGTTTAAAGTTACAGCATACCTGTTATGTGAATACGATATTCCTCCTTGAAGATCTTTTGGAAGAAAGGAATCTTGAACTGCATGTGAGGAGTGTGCAACCCAGGAAGATTTACATCAACATTTCCCATAAAATGTGGGAATTCCCAGTCCTGTCAAAGAAAATCAACATAAAAACATATTTGTGATTTGTTTCGTTCCTAAGCAGCAAAACACCAAAAATTGACTTTTTACAAGCACTTATTTTAAAATCATTTAAATGCAGCAAGCTGTTGGATGTATCTGTTTCATTCCATGATGGTTATTTTATGTACATTAGGTAGTTGTGTGCATTCAAAATCAAAATTAAGTCATAACTTACATCCTCAGATTTTCTCTTTAATGTGGTAATAAGAAACCAATGTAGAATTGATTTGCATCTATACATGTTTCTCTCATTCTGGAGAACTGATCTTAAATTTTTATAGGAAGGAAGAGATCCATATTTTATAAATATGTGGTAATTTTGTTACATTTTGTTTCACTACCTTTAAAAAATATGAACCCCATAATACTATGTTTTGTGCAAGAAGACAAAGTAAAGAGGATCTAATTCACTTAATCAAGTTTTTCAAGTCACATCCAAGAGCCTTTTATTAATCACCTCTGCTAGTAACTACATGGAGTGGAAAAATGCCAAAGACTCTTGTTCTGTTCTCTTGCAATTTAGCATCAATTTGAACCAAATGATGGAGGGCCTGACGTGCTAGCATGAGAGATGAACGATGAATTAATTCCCAAATTGTCTTAGTTATTTTCTTGTTGTAAGGCAAAATCAGGAGGGATGACCCTCCCTCTCATAAGGAAGGGAAACAGATGCAAATGAGGATATTTTTAGGTGTCTCATCTGCTCTTGGTTTTTGGATACAGCACCGAACTAAAGTTCACAGCTAGCATGTGAAGAAAAAAGAGACTAAATATGAAGAAACATTTGAGGTGGATGCATAGGCATTAATACACATATTTTCACTTTTAATAACTAAATAATCCCTAAAGTATCAGTCCTGTGTTTAGTGAACATCTTTAAAAATATTACTGAAAAAAGTAATGAACAAAATTTGAATTTCAGATTTCAGTATATTATTTCCACTTATTTAATTTATTTTTTTTAAAGATTTTATTTATTTGTTCGACAGAGAGAGACACAGTGAGAGAGGGAACACAAGCAGGGGGTAGTGGGAGAGGGATAATCAGGCTTCCCACCGAGCAGGGAGCCCGATGCGGGGCTCAATCCCAGGACACTGGGATTTTGACCTGAGCGCACGGCAGACGCTTAATGACTGAGCCACCCAGGCACCCCCATTATTTCAATTTAAAAAGTAAATTTTTCCAAGACTTCTATATATTCAGCTGATACAGATGTGCCAATAATAGAGTGCCTGAACATCATAGAGTTTCCATGTCCATTCCACTCCCCTTATTTATTTATTTATTTATTTATTTATTTATTTATTTATTTATTTATTTTGAGAGAGAGAAAGCAGGTGTGTGGGGTGGGGGGGAGCAGAGGGAGAGAGAGAATCTCAAGCAGGCTCCTTGCCCAGCACGGAGCCTGACACGGAGCTCGATATCACGACACTGAGATCATGACCTGAGCGGAAATCAAGAGTCAGACACTTAATCCATTGAGCCACCCTGGCACCCCACCATCCCCTTTCTGCTGAGAATTCTGGTCAAAGGAGAATAGGCTTCAGAGAAAAGGAACCTAGGTGGGTGGTAGTAACCAGGAAAGTTTTCAATGTCTATTAATTTCATGATCTATGGATCACTCCAAACTGCTAATAATAAATAAAGAAACAAAAAGAAAAATGAAATGATACCACATCATCTTTTTCTATTGTTGTGTATGCAAATATCTTGTTGGTCTCACCTCTCCTTGCTTTTCATACATCAGCAGTAAATAGACATGTAATTTGGAAAATTCAGAAAACCCAAAGCATAAGCTGGATAATTTAGAACATTTGATCTAAAATATTAGAAGAAAATGGATTGGTAATACTTGTGAATTATTACATTTTATTAAAATGTATTTTCCTTTATTTTTCATCAACACCTTGCTCTTCTTATATTACTTGAAATACTATTGCTAAGAGAATTGGAATTGAATTTGGTCTTTTGCTAAAATATAACTGACATCTCCCATGAAAAATTATGCTTGACACATAAAGGGACTGATAACCAGAGTATCTTTCACTTGCCCTAGATAAACAACACAAAGCATTATCAACAGAGCAATTCTCTTTTTTATTTCTTGGTTTAAGAAAGAGAATACTTCTTGGTCGTAATTGAGCAAGTATAGTACCTTCTTTTTGGAAAGATGTTCTTGGACTATTCTCATTTAGCTTTTTATTCCATGAGATGAAAGTTTTCTACTGGGTATGAAATTGGTTTTAGTTTGAAAGTAATCTCTAGAGATTTCTCGTAGAATGAGATCAAAACTTCATTCACCAAAAAATAGTTCCTCAAAGATTTCCCACCTATAGTTGGAGAATGAAAGATGAATTAAGGAAATGGGAGTGCAGATGAAAGAGAAGAGAAAGACTTGCTCCTTGTCTGGATGACGGCATTACTTTTTCCCTTTTTTTTTAAAGATGGGATCAGCTTAGGGAGTTTGGGGGAATGTATGATAAAAGTAGCTGGTGCCTTGTAAGAAAAGTTTTTGAAAAGAAGATTAATAAAAAAGATGATATATTCTCTTAGAGTCATCTGTTCTACATTATTTTTTATAATCACCATATTTTGGTTTTCAAAACTCTTTTCCTTAGTCTTGGAACTCCCCACCCCCCTCCTTCTCTCCCTGTTACTCCAGTGTTTGTACTTCAGTTCCTACTCTGCATACTTCTCCGGACTCATTACTGGGTCAGTGTAAACTCTGGCCTCACTTGACTTAGACTGGGATGCTAATAATAATTGCTATCATTTGCAGGAAGTGTGGGGCTTGTCTTCACGGGCAGGGGTATCTGAGGCTGATGATACCCCAGGTATTTACTTAAAGGAGGTAAAAGGGGATGAGGGGTGGTGTTCTGAATCTCCCTAGGCATCAGCTTCTTCATCTATAAATTGGGGTTAAATATAGCAACCTCACAGGCTCCTTGGGAGGGTGAGATAATGCCTGGACAGCAATGAGCAGGTGCTGGAGACAGAGGGAAGAGACAGGGAAATGGTCAACAAGCATGGCTGGTTTCCCCACATGATCCCAAAATCAAGGTTATCCTGAGAGTGAAGCAAAGGAAGCAGATGCGTCTGTTTTCAGAATCACACATAGGGCTGCTTGCAGGTCTGGGTGAAAAAGGTCGAAGGGCCTCTTCTCCTTTCTGCTCTCATCCACTGCACAGTGCTGGCCTCCTGGGGTCTCTGACTGGGACTTTGGTCAGAGTGGTGTTCTCCCAGAGGGCATTGGGAGCAGGACCGTAAGGAAGGAGCCTCTCTCAAGAGGCATGTAAGGTGACCTCATGAGGAGGATGGAAGAACAAGAGCAACTTGGTCTCTGATGCAATGTGGTGACACTGTTGAAACCTCCAGAAATACCTGTGGGGGACTTTACTGGTGGGGAAGGGAGGCATTGCTACCCTGCAGACGGGAGCTGGTAAGCTAGCAACATGAGTAACTAAGAGCTGAGGAAATCTGTGGACATTGGGCATCAATTATCAAACACTCGCAATGTTCTAGCATCGTCCTAGGCTATAAATTTATATCTATGTACCAAATGGTCCCGAAAGCTTCCTATTACTAACCCATTTTACAGATGAGGAAATCTGTCTCAGAAAGGCTGTCACAAAATGCAGTTGTGATGCGGCAGAACACAGCCCAAAGAATAAATTCTCTCTGTCAGGCCATGCCATCTCTGTGAACAGCACTTACTGTGTTTTACTCCAAACTGGGATTATTTTGACCTGCTGCATCTGTTCTAATGGAGAATCACGATGATCATCCTTTCCTGCTTGTCTCCCACCAAAAGCCAGTTCCATGAAGAGATTTAAACTGCTTTTCCCACCCACCCCAAAGGGCTTTCATTTTTTTTTTTTTAATCTGACCTGGATTTGAACAAGACCAACTGTGACTCTTTCTCCACTAAGCAACTGTCCCAGGGACACTGGCTTCTAATCAGCCTGGGAAGAAGGGACATTTGACTAACAGGTGATTGCTATAAAATATTGAGATTCTCTTGACACCATAACTGGATGTACAGCGATTTTCATACACAGCTTGTATGTAAATGTTATGAGAATCATAGCTTTCTTTCCTGCCGCATAAATGTAAAATATATATTTGAACACAAGATGAGAATGTTAAGAGAATGACAAGGCAAGATGTGTTTAGCTACTAAGACCACAGTAGAGATAGGTTAATACTGTGCATATTATGAAATGCTCATTTATTTTGTTCTTTAAGAAATGTTATCAATATTTAGTAATTCAAAGCTTCCTTACTCCTTTCTGTTATTAAATCTAACAATCACTATAGAAGTCTATCACATTTGCAGTTCAGTGATGTGAGAATTATTTAGGCTTATCAGATCATACATGCTACTCCAGTTCTCATCAGTTCATGGTGATGAACAGACTTCCAACTTTATACCTTGCTTCATATAAGAAAGAGTTAATTTTCATTCAGATGGGCATATTTCCCATATCAATATAAATGAGCAGTGCCATAGTATATATCTAATCTTATTTCTTATATACTATGGCTTACTCTGCCTATCACAATAAAAACCGCATTTGGACACTGATGTCCATTGGATGTGTAATTTGGACTGATGCATCCAAATCTGATTCTGTCCAAATGTGGCCCTATCATTCATGGACCACATTTGGACAGAATTTCAAGGCAGCATTAAGTATATAGGCAAAATGGTCTCAGGATATGCTGGATTCATCATTCCCTCATGTTTTCTCATTGAGACGCATGCCTTGGGGCCAAGAAAAAGAAGTTGGTACTATGCAGAGGAACTCAAGCTTGAAACCAACACTGTTTTGAATTCCCCCACTAGCATTCAATTTCCCAAATCAAATGAAGAGACCTCATTTCTATTTAGAGAAGCGTTAGAGGATAAAAATGTAATAACACTGATTACCCTACAAAACGAAAGCCATGGTATCAGAACAAAAGT